CTCATGGTTTCTCACAGGTGCGACACTTTTTGATTTTTCGGTCCTTTCCCACCTGGAATGTCCTCCGGGAGTCTCGGGATGTTCCCCCAGCGGAATTTTTTCGGTACCTTCAATTGCGGCACTGGCTACTCTCGCTGAGGGCCACTTCTGCTTTCCCATATCAGACATCTGCCTTTGAACGGCTTTGCCAGCAGCGTCCAGGCGCCCCGGGCCTTTTCTCCCTTCTTTATGCAGCTTTGAACAGATGCTCGTCGCACACTTCTCTTTCATATGTAGTTCAGTGGGAAGGCGACCTGGGAATGGCTGTGGATCCGGAGGACTGGAATAAAGCCTGGTCCCTCATAGCTAAATGTTCGTTTAATACAACCACGCTGGAAGCAGCCTATAAGGTATTGTTTCGTTGGTATTGGGTGCCGGCTCGTTTGGCCCAGGCTAACCCTGCCTGTAGTGATCGATGTTTTCGGGGTTGTGGCCATCGTGGCGATGTACTGCATATCTGGTGGTCATGCCCGAGGTTGGTTCGTTTTTGGTCTTGTGTGTTTGGCCTCCTTTTCACTTTGTTTCATCTCTCCATACGCCGGGATGCTCGGTATGCTTTGCTTCATTGCCCCATACCGGGCCTCTTGGCTCGTCAGCAGCGGTTGGCTTCCTATTTGTTTTTATCGGCCACTAGGACAATTGCCCAGGCCTGGAAGAGTCCGTTTGTACTTTTTCAGGGGGTGCGGGATCGTATGACTACTATGATGCTCAATGAACAGATGTCGAGTATATGCAACGACTCTCAACATAAATTTTTGAAAATATGGGAGCCATGGTTGCAATATGCCTTTCCCACGCTCCCCCCGGCCAGTGTAGGGAGGTGATGGAGTTTTGTATTGGCGCTCATGGACCCTTGCTCTCTGGTGTGTGTTTTTTTTTTTTTTTTTTCTTTCTTTCTTTTCTCTGCTTTTCTTCTTTCCTTTTCTGTTTGTTTTGATGTGACAGTGGACAGCTGTCTTTAGTTGCGATAATCTGAGTTTCACTGATGTTATTGTTACCTATGTGCCATTGATAGCCCCTACGTGGGCATACGTTTTGCCTTATTGGAATTAGAGCGTTGTCTGCTCTATTATGCATTTTCTATCTGTGCAATTGATAGCCCCTGCGTGGGCGTGTTTTGTTGCCTCTGTTTTATACTGTTTAAAATTAATAAAAACCATTGAAATACAAAACTTGCCACTAGGTATCATAAATGCCGAGGCGCACATGCGCCGTGTAATCCGCTACGTCATTGCGGCAAAGGTGCGCATGCGCAGTGTCAGTGCGCCGCGGCCATTTTCTTGCAGTATAATGACTGCAGACAAAAGACCCACGGCGCATGCGCCTGAAGTGATGGCGGCGGCCATTTTGTCTTATAAGGGATCGTTTTCACCTCATGCACCCCCCTTTTGAGAACGTGCACAGCGCATGAAACGCGTCAGGGATGGTGCCCCCCCAGATATCTTCACTCATTGCATGGCCATTGCTGGACGGCCGTGTACATATTCTTACTCTGTAAGTGGTTTTCTACCTATGTTTTTTATTATACCAATAAACCCTGCTACACTATCAAAGCTTCTGGCCTGTGGCTCCTTTTCTTATACTGAGCGAGCCCGGGCCTTTTTTGAAGGTGGCTACATATTTCCTGTCCGTCTGCTGGCTGATATCGTGGGTAATACCTCATTTGGCTGCTGCTGTTGTCTGTGGATTTCCTGCCTTTGCCTGTCCTGGGAGATATGACACCTAGTGGCAAGTTTTAAGATGACAACTACCTATCCAGTGACCTACTTCCAGAGTACTAGGAGTAGGTCTTAATTACTCCATGCTTCATTTGCATATGCATCCGGTTAGTGCAATCTACTCTCAGTTTATTACCACAAGAGTCACGAGCATTCCAGTCTTCCAGATGCCGATACATCACAGAAGTCACGTTAATACGTTATGATAACCTAGAAGCTTCATGTCATATCTGATTTTTTTAGTATTTGTTATCTACTCATTTATGTTTAATCCTATAGCGCTGCATATTTTTATCGTTTATGTACCACTTGAAGTTTTAGAGGTTTACTTCCAATGTCAGCTGCTAGCCATCCCTTCCTTCACTGACACCTAGCGCTTGGTTTATTTGTCTTTCAATCACAAGGGCCTGCTTCTGATATAGCATATAGTATAGTCTAGTAGTCTAGCTTGTTATATCCCCAATACTAACCTCTTATATCACATTTATATATCCAATTTTCTTAACACTATAACCACTTCCTGTCCGGACACTTTTACCCCTTCCTGTCCAGGGCAATTTTTAGCTTTCAGCGCTATCACACTTTGAATGACAATTGCGCGGTCATGCAATACTGTACCCATATGAATTTTTTACCATTTTTTTGAGACAGATAAAGCTTTATTTTGGTGGTATTTATTCACCGCTGGGATTTTTATTTTTTTTACTATGTAAATGAAAAAGTTCAAAAATTTTGAAAAAAAGTGTTTTTTTAAATAAAATTTTGCAAATAAATAATATTTCATCATAAATCTTAGCCAAAATTTATTCCATTATTTTTTTAGTAAAAAAAAAAAAATCCAAATTAGTTTATAACCTAAATTATAATTTTTAAACATTTTTTTTTACATTTTATTTTATTTTATTTATATTATTATTTTTTATTTTTATTTTTTTTTTTACATACTGTCACCCTAGCAGTACACTGTCACCATGGTGACACTGTACTACTTGTGGAGGGTGATGAAGATTTTTTTTTTTTTTTTTTTTTACACTGATTGCTTTTACACCCATATAGGATGTAAAAGCAATCATTTCTTTCTCTCTGTCTGCATTCTTGCAGTCATTGAGAATTACTGAGTGAGCTGTGAGTGGTCACAGCTTGTCACATGGTACAAGGCTGTTGTGAATAGCCTTGTACCATGTGACCTCTGTGATCATTCACAGATTTCACACATAGTAAGCAATGATGTCACAAGTGACATCTTGCTTACTACTTTGCATGTGATCACTGATTCGCCAATCAGTGATCACATGATCGGGACCTCGTACAGAGGTCCCGTCCGACGAGCGGTGGTGCTCGCTCCCAGGGGGCGCGCACAGCTAGAAAAGGCAGGTGCCGTTTATGGACGGCAACCCGACCCTGGACTGCCACCGCCCTGCCGTTTATAAACAGTAGGCGGACGGCAAGAGGTTAAAAACAGTACCAGGGGCGGACTGACAACTCATGGGGCCCCCGGGCAATAGGGGATCATGGGGCCCCTGTGTCCTTGCCTAAACTCAAAAAAGCCTATGAAAAAGGTACCAGGGGCATCTCATGGGGCCCCCTACTGACCCCAGGCCCTCGGGCAGTACCCGAGTTTCCAAATGGTCAGTCCGCCCCTGAACAGTACAGATTTCTTGCTGAACCATTAGTCATTCATGTGTTGCCCTACTCAGAATATGTGTAAACTATTCAAAGAATACACATTTGATGTCGTATGTATACAATTAAAATGTGCTACATACAAGGCTTAATTTGTCATAAGGCAATGGAAGTCCATTGCCTAGAGCAGCAGGGTAAGAAGGAGCAGCACAAACCCACAAATGGTTCTAATTATGGCACTCTTTTCTTTGTTTCTTTCCCTGTTCTTATCACTACTCTGGTAACAGAAATGCACGGAGGAGGGGTGCACACAGAGGAATCATAAGACTCTCTGTAAGCAACGTGATGCAGTCTGCCCTTTTCACTTTTATTTGATGGTCTGTTCAGTCAAATATTATCTCTGCATAAAAAGCAGAAGCGTGCAGCCTTTAAAAAATAATTGTTGTTTGCAAAACGTTCTAAATACAGACATGACTATAGATTAATATTATAAGTCATACTTTAGTAGTGTAGTGTAGTGGCTTCCTAGAAGCCTGGGTTTAGACAGAGAGTTACTTCAGGTTAAGGTAGAGGACTCTACAGGTCAGTTCTCTCTTCTCTGGTACCTCCCCCTGCTCTAGAAGCTTGCAGAGGCATCTAGAAGTCAGTAGGCACAGGTAAGGAGGGGCTGATTTGCATATTTATGGGAGCTTGACAAATCCCAGGTAGGAGGCCTTGCAGTGTGGCAGGCAGACCATTCCAAAAATATGACAGAGGCTGGCCAGCAGGGGAGTCAGGTGGAAGATGGAGTGCTGCTGTGGGAGTGGGCCTCCAGAGAGTAGGGGGTTTCTACCTCCAGGCTGGAGGTTTGAGGAAAGAGGAAAGCTGAAGGAGGGAGCTCCACTGCCTTGCAGTCCATCGGGGTAGGACAGCCTGCATAGCTTGGACAGGAACCAGCCCAGCAGAAGGCCTAGAAGCAGTTCTATCCACAGCTGCAGGACAAGGACAAAGTGAGTACCTCTGCGCCCCCAGGGCCTATAAGTGAGAAGTGTGCTGGATGCAAGTTCTTGGTAAATCTTCAGGGGAGAGTTCATAGCTTACCCAAACCCTTGTCCTGGGATCAATTATCATAGCCAGGTGGACTGGTATTTTGTTCACTTACGGCTCCTACAAGTTGGGACTTTGCTAAAAATTCACTCAAGGTGACTCAGAGCTCCTGCAAGCTGCCACTTTGCTCGAGACTGTCATGTTTTGGCTGGGGCATAGTCAAATATCTGCCATTTTTGTAGTAGTTTAGAGAATGAAATTATCCTCATTTGTTATTCTTCAATCAAGTTGGCCATCCCATAACCCCTTTACCCTATCCAAATTAAATTCCCTAATAAATAAAAAAAAACAAGCCCATGGACTATTTCCTGTGTCTGGAAAATGTGTGTTGCCTGGCTGTGCAGGAAGTAAAGGGGGACCCAAAATCAGCGTCTCTCAAGAGGGTAGCGCTACAGTAGTACTCTAATTTTAACATTTAATTTCTAATACTTTTTAAAATAGCATTTCCCCTTTCCTGTTGTACTGTTTTTCATATTTGTTGAACAAATGTTTATATTCATTACAGAAGTACCATTTAGTTATTTCCACTTGCAGGTAATTTTGATGGAGCACAAGGAACCTTACAGCGCTGTATAGAGCTGAATCCTGAGTGGGCTGACGCTCACCTTCTTATGGCCCAGATCTACCTGTCACAAGAAAAGTATTCTGAATGCTCAGTGTCACTAGAAACTGGAGTCAGCCACAACTTTAAGGTGAATGTTAATCATAAATGAAATAGGGAACATGAATATTATACTTGCCAACAGTCCAAATAATGGGTACAGATTATTATATAATTAGAGAAATTATGACATGACTGTAGATTAGGGCATAGCCAGACTTGTTCCAGAATTTCACTTAAGGATTATGATAAGTATGGATTTCTACAACATTCTTATTGTATGATTTTGCATTAACATGGTTATCAAGTGAAAAGCTTGATGTTTATGCCCTGATGTCTCTATTTACTGTATATATGATCCAATGATACACGTATTCTCCTGGATTTACTGTCAGACTGAACCTAGTATAGTAGTTTAAAGTGAAATGTGGGGGCTGCCACTGCTGTTATGCTGAAAAATGCTAAATTCTTGGCTGTTATGCTGACCTCTGGCTTTAGGAATTTCTGAGTTACTTGCCAGATATATGTGTCACTAAGTTTAAAGTTAGTAGTCCATATCTACATTCTTGTTTTGGGTTGGCATGATAACCAAACATCTAGCATTTACAAAATAAGAAGTCCGCAATAGCAGCTTCCATGTTTTTGCAGGAATGGGTTCCTCTAAAGCAGATCTTATATGGGAAAAACTGTATAAATTACATTTTCAAACAGCTTTGTAAAGAAGGAGATATGTATAAAGATTTACCCGTGTTATGTGATGATAGAAAGAGCAAAGACCCACAATGTGGCTATAACATTAGGAAGGCTAAACTCCCTTTGTTTACCTATTTCCTCACCGGAATTTAATGTATGGTGGTTTTGTACATATATTATTTATTTGTGTACTATATGGCCAGGACTAAACAAAGAAAAACATTTGAAAAGTTTATTTATTTATTTATTTTTTAACCTAAACATGAAATGTTGCAAAGGTGGCGCTCTAGACTGCTTTCACAACGAGCCTGCGAGAAAGGATAGTGCTCTGGGAATCACTTGTCATGCAATAAATGTTTATTTGTTAAACAAAGTTGTAAACATATTGATAAAAAAACGGATATGAACCAATATTAAAAAATAATTTAAAATTGACACAAACATGATTCTAGTTTCCTTTTAAAGTTTTATAAAATATTAAATCACAAATAAACCAAATATATTTCTTTTTCAGTTATATAAATCTAAGGAAAAATATTACTGTACATTTTTATTGTGCTGGCATTAAATATATTTTCTATATTTAGTTGAGTCTTTTCATGTTTAATTTGTAGTACAATACCTTCTAACTCCACTGTGCCAGCGACTGTTTCAGGCAAGGGCACCCAAAGCTGAAACCCGCTTACTTCTGGGATTTAGTGCAGATGGATACCCAGCTTACATATCCAGCTTTTGGTCCTGCGCAGTAATCACACAGTGCGGCTGACACAGTTGTCATTTTCTGTAACAAAATACCATGATATGACAAAAAGAAGATGCAATCTTGGGATTGCTGATGCTGATATCCCAGGTGTCAATGAGACAATCCTTTTGACATCAATGATGGCTGCAGCCTGGAGCAGCTGCAAAATGTATTAACAAAGTTAATTATGAAGAATATAAAACTAGACTCTCCAAAGATATTGATTTACATTACAATTTAACTGAGGCTTTGTTGAGAAAGAGGGTGAAGATCTGCTAAAATTCCTTGCCTGGTGGTTGTGAAACTATTTTATGCCTTAGTAACAATGTCATTTCTTATGCAAGCTGAAGTTGAAAACCTGTGTACTAAACTGTACTTGTCTTCCATCCCATCTTTCTTGTTGCCCTGCATGGCAAATAGTTTCTTATACAAAATCTGACCTAAAATAAAATCTGATGAAAAACAAATATATATACTGTACTTAGTCGAAAGGGTATGTAGGATACACTGACACACATCAAGGGCTACTTGATAAATATTTGCTTTTACAGAGTAATGCATAATATCATAAGGGTTTATTCACATTTCTTTGAACTCTGAAGAGCAATCCGAAATCAGGGATGAGGAGGTGTTGTATTGTCTCCTTACTGCTTGCTTTAACCCCTTGAATACCACACTAACACTCCGCAGAGCATCCCCATTCATACAGAAGGTATAACCACTGCCGTGGCTGTAAAGCAATGCATGATGACCTTAGGATGTGTACACCCCTGGCCGCTGCCTCTGCAGCTGAAGGGGGAGTGGTTGTGAGGTGGTAAAAATGCTGCTCAACTGTAGGAGTTTACCGCCCCTCAGTTGATAGTGTGAATGACCCCTAAAGGTGGAGACACTGCTTGGGATACTGGTGGTAGAGTGTTACCTATCATTTCTCCTATTTCGATATGTACTCTGTTTCTTTATGTGCTTTATAATAATATCTTAAATCTTTTATGATCATCACTATATATCTTAATCATCATGTTTCCTGTTTTCATAATTTAGGTTCGAGAACATCCTATTTATTATTTAATTAAGGCTAAGGTTCTGGAGAAAACAGAAAACCGTGCAGAAGCTATACAGATGCTAAGAATGGCTATGAGCCTCCCTGAGATGAAAATGTGGAGTGGCTGGAAGAAGTAAAACTGGAAGCCTTAGTATAAGTGACAGAGTGTCTATATATCTGGAACTGGCCAAACTTCTTCGTTTAAATGGAGAGCAGGTAAAGCAAGAGCTGAGGCATTATATGGTTGCACTACAAATCAGGTTTTTTTTTAAGAGTAATGAGTTCTGTACTAGGCTGCAGGGACTTTGGAAAAAAAGATTTGCTGCTGTCTTTACTTGTGGCTCACTCATACAAACACAGCTTTACTCATTACAGTGATGGACTATGATATTTAAAGCAGTGTTAAACCCAAAAGCAAACTTTTATTACTTTGCAGCTTACCAATTCTTAGATGTGATGTTGCTGTAACTGCAGTGTGATCTGGAGGTTGGCTTCAATTTGTTAGTGTATTAAAATCTGCTAGTATATCTAACACTCCCCTCCCCCAGATTAAGAATGGTGCTGTCTGCCTTGCCCCTGTGCTTTTTCATCCAGAGTGGAGGCACCCAAACACAGGAGGTGTGTTACTGGCAAGATAACCAGGTGAAAACAGAGGAAAAAATACTACAAAAAATTAATGCAGTCGCTGCTTAAACTGGCCACGCAAATAAGGATTGCTTTCATTCAGCCTGCAGGCTAAATGAAAGAAGTATAAAAGATTCCTCCATCCACGCTAACAGTGTGGTTGGATGATTCCCCTGTGACATGCTATTGTGTTCTAACAGCCAGCAGCACTGGCTCTAAGATTACTGAACAGTGTCTGCATCTGATTGGATACAGCTGCTGTTTGGCCAACAATTTACTAAAAGTCTCATTCAGCAAATGTTGCAGCGGTGCTGGCAGAGCCATACACTGCTTAAGGCTAGGTTCACATATGTGCGGGTGGTGCCGCTGCGGATCCACACAAAAATCTATGCAGCCGCACCACCCGCACAGAAAAATGCAGACCCACGGGCGGGTGCCATTAGTTCTAATGGCACACTGCCCGCATTGGGAATTGCAACCGTACTGGGAACTGAGGTTTCCGTGCAGGCTGTTTTTTCAGAAGGAGTTCAGGGATTTCTTCCCTGCATGTCCCAGCGCATGGGAGCCCATTGAAATGAATGGGCTCTCGTGCACTCGCAAAACGCAGACCGCAGGAACTCAGATATGTGAACCAGGAGTAAGTCCTCATGCACACTGGAAGTTTTTATAGCTGCTGTTTTTGGCTTTTAATGTTTTTTTCTACAGCCAGTAAACCCCCCAGCATGTTATCCTATGTGTCCATGCTCACATAGACTGTAATCAACATTTTGTGGCTGGAAAAAAAAACCAGGACTAGTGGTTTTCTAGAGGAGTTTTTTAGCTGTAAAAACACTCTAATGCTGAAAAAACGGGGCAAACCATGGTAAATCGCTGCAAACTGGTGTTTTTGGACTTTCTTTGACCAAAAAAAAATTTTTTTTGTGGTTAAAAAATGCTAAAGAAACCCAAACGCAGAAAAATGCTGCTAATCGTGGCAAAACACTGCTAAACGCTAATGCAAAAATGCTGAAAAAAGCAAGTTTTTGATGTGACTTTCCACTGCTAACGTTACCAGTGTTATCAAAACGTCCAGTGCGCATGAGGGCTCAGTTTCGGCCGAGCTAGCAGGAATAGGCTGAAATTTGAGTAGAGCGTATGGTCAGCTAAGGTAAGCAGCGCATATTAGGCTAAGCCCCAAAAATCAGAAACTGTTTCGCATAAGGTGCTGGGGCCCCCTAACTTGACTGGTCTCCGAGAATTCCTCCATTTATATTAGGAATAAAGCAGCACTAATTATGGTGTTGCACTTCATTGATGGAATCTCAGTGATGTATAATATAGAGCTCAATCAAGCCTTCGTTATGGCTGGCTGGGAGTGGAGCAAGGCAGACACCACTGCAAATAAACTCACAGCTGGAGTCTACCACACTGCAACAGGTTCAAGAAACAAGTGGGTGACTCTAAAATCAGTTTTACACTGAGCTAGCGTTTACATTTCTAATAACCTTTATCTCACCTGATTACATATTCTTGGGATGTTATAGCATGAAGCTACAAAGATAATACAAGATGCAGTCAATGCATTTCATGGGACCCCAGAAGAAATTCGAATCATTATAGCTAATGCAGACATGTCCCTCAGTAAAGGCGATACAGAGTCAGCGCTAAGCATGCTGAGAGACATCACACCAAACCAGCAATACTACATCGAGGTCAAGCAAAAGATGGCAGAAGTTTATCTGAAAAATCGAAAGGATAAAAAATTATACATTGCTTGCTACAGGTATGTTTCTAGTAACAGTATCTTAATAAAAACAGATATTTTTTAGTATTCTTCTAAAATAAACATGTCAGTATGCTACCGTAACAGAACTTTTAAAAGGCTTGTTCATCAAAGCTTGAAATTTCAGTTATACATGGAATTTGGTAAGCTACCAATCAGAATTTATACTGTCCTAGTCTGACTTAAAAAAAAAAAAAACAACAGATTTGTTGCAGTTGGTAAATGAAAAAGGCTAACTCCGCTTTCATGGGGAAAAAAAAATAGCAAATAAAATAAATAAATAATATAGCATACACAATTGTGACTCAAGCAGGGGCGGACTGACCATTTGGAAACTCGGGTACTGCCCGAGGGCCTGGGGTCAGTAGGGGGCCCCATGAGATGCCCCTGGTACCTTTTCATAGGCTTTTTTGAGTTTGGGCAAGGACACAGGGGCCCCATGATCCCCTATTGCCCGGGGGCCCCATGAGTTGTCAGTCCGCCCCTGGACTCAAGTCATATTGTTATTGAAAGTTATTAAAAATTGCCTTTTCTTTTCACTCTGCAGTGCTGTATTTTCTGTAAAATACAATACAATATGGCTACCTGGAGGTGTTCTGTACACAGATGGTGTACAGAGCGCCCTTTAAAAATGCAATTTCCTGCTTTATTGCCTTAAGTCTGCACTAGGATACAAGTCAGATTTTTGGCATCCCCTGCCACAAAAATGTCATTTTTGGTGAGATACTCCCAAAAGGAAATCATGTTTAAAGGAATGCAGGCCCCGTCACTTTCCTCATTAGAGTTTGCAGGTGCAGCAGCTGATTGATAATTATAAAACCACTTCTATACAGATTCACTTTACACACGGACACAAACAACAGCGATTTCTTCAGGATTACAAAAGGTAGGAATCTGCAAAAGAGTTTGTTAAAAATCCTTGCAATGTGCATAGATCACCAAGAGGGGAATGTTTTTTTCCCAACAAAAGTGGAGTTACTTTTTAAGAATTCTTTATTAAATTTGGATTTTTATTTTTATGGTATTGTGGTGAATCAGAATTCATGTGACCATATAATGTTCCACCTGAAACAAGTATGCATGTTGCCCACACTGCAATTTTTTTTCTGACTTGCACTGCAATAAAATTACATCTGACTTCTGATGATTGCTAAGGACAACACACTTTCCTTTTTCTAGATTATTTATGTGATAACCATTATATATAAGCAAAATTGTTGATTTCTTTCCAACAGAGAGCTGAGCGAGAAGTTGCCTGGCCCACAGACAAGTCTTCTTCTGGGAGATGCCTACATGAACATTCAGGAGGTATCTTCTGCAAAATCCTTCTGGACTCTATTGCATTGCGCTGTGCTATCAATTTATTTGTTTTCCATCATTGGGAATAGGGGTGTATTCATGTCTTACCAGTGGCCTATGTGCTCAAAGATGACACCTGTAAAAGGAGATCCTGAGGATTTACCCCCCTTCCTGACCAGGCATTTTTTTGCTATTCAGCTCTGCATTATTTGAACTGGTAATTGCATGGTCACGCAGTGCTGTACCCAAATTATATTTATATCCTTTTTTTCACACAAATAGAGCTTTCTTTCAGTGGTATTTGATCACTTGTGCTCTTTTTATTTTTTGCTCTATAAACGAAAAAAGACCGAAAATTTTGAAAAAACTATATTTTTTACTTTCGGCTATAAAAAATATACAGTCAGGTCCATAAATATTGGGACATGGACACAATTCTAACATTTGTGGCTCTATATACACCACCACAATGGATTTGAAATGAAACAAACAAGATGTGCTTTAACTGCAGACTGTCAGCTTTAATTTGAGGGTATTTACATCCAAATCAGGTGAACGGTGTAGGAATTACAACATATGCATATGTGCCTCCCACTTATTAAGGGACCAAAAGTGATGGGACAGTTGGCTTCTCAGCTGTTCCATGGCCAGGTGTGTGTTATTCCCTCATTATCCCAATTACAATGAGCAGATAAAAGGTCCAGAGTTCATTTCAAGTGTGCTATTTGCATTTGGAATCTGTTGCTATCAACTCTCAAGATGAGATCCAAAGAGCTGTCACTATCAGTGATGCAAGCCATCATTAGGCTGAAAAAACAAAACAAACCCATCAGACAGATAGTAAAAACATTAGGCGTGGCCAAAACAACTGTTTGGAACATTCTTAAAAAGAAGGAACGCACCGGTGAGCTCAGCAACACCAAAAGACCCGGAAGACCACAGAAAACAACTGTAGTGAATGACCGAAGAATTCTTTCCCTGGTGAAGAAAACACCCTTCACAACAGTTGGCCAGATCAAGAACACTCTCCAGGAGGTAGGTGTATGTGTGTCAAAGTCAACAATCAAGAGAAGACTTCACCAGAGTGAATACAGAGGGTTCACCACAAGATGGAAACCATTGGTGAGCCTCAAAAACAGGAAGGCCAGATTAGAGTTTGCCAAACGACATCTAAAAAAGCCTTCACAGTTCTGGAACAACATCCTATGGACAGATGAGACCAAGATCAACTTGTACCAGAGTGATGGGAAGAGAAGAGTATGGAGAAGGAAAGGAACTGCTCATGATCCTAAGCATACCACCTCATCAGTGAAGCATGGTGGTGGTAGTGTCATGGCGTGGGCATGTATGGCTGCCAATGGAACTGGTTCTCTTGTATTTATTGATGATGTGACTGCTGACAAAAGCAGCAGGATGAATTCTGAAGTGTTTCGGGCAATATTATCTGCTCATATTCAGCCAAATGCTTCAGAACTCATTTGGACGCCGCTTCACAGTGCAGATGGACAATGACCCAAAGCATACTGCAAAAGCAACCAAAGAGTTTTTTAAGGGAAAGAAGTGGAATGTTATGCAATGGCCAAGTCAATCACCTGACCTGAATCCGATTGAGCATGCATTTCACTTGCTGAAGACAAAACTGACGGGAAAATGCCCCAAGAACAAGCAGGAACTGAAGACAGTTGCAGTATAGGCCTGGCAGAGCACCACCAGGCATGACCAGTGTCTGGTGATGTCTATGCGTTCCAGACTTCAGGCTGTAATTGACTGCAAAGGATTTGCAACCAAGTATTAAAAAGTGAAAGTTTGATTTATGAATATTATTCTGTCCCATTACTTTTGGTCCCTTAACAAGTGGGAGGCACATATGCAAACTGTTGTAATTCCTACACCGTTCACCTGATTTGGATGTAAATACCCTCAAAATAAAGCTGACAGTCTGCAGTTAAAGCACATCTTGTTCGTTTCATTTCAAATCCATTGTGGTGGTGTATAGAGCCAAAAATGTTAGAATTGTGTCGATGTCCCAATATTTATGGACCTGACTGTATACTGTAGTAAACTCAAAGTTAATCATAAATTTAGGCCAAAATGTATTCTGCTACATGTCTTTGGTAAAAAAAATCCCAGTAAGTGAATATTGATTGTTTTGTGTGAAAGTTATAGCATCTACAAACTATGGTATAGAGACTGCAATTTACGCCATTTTTTGCTGTACAATGCTGCACTAATTTAACTGACAATTGCGTGTGGTCATGCAGTACTGTACATAAATGAAATTTATGTCCCTTTTTCACACAAACAGAGCTTTCTTTTGGTGATATTTGATCACCTGTACGCTTTTTATTTTTTCGCGCTATAAAAAAAAAAAAGACTGAAAATTTTGAAAAAAAACCCAATATTTTCTCATTTCTGTCATAAAAAAATATCCAAAAAACTCAAATTTCGTCATAAATTTAGGACAAAATGTATTCTGCTACATGTTTTTGGTAAAAAAAAAAAAGTCCCAATAAGTGTATATTGATTGCTTTGTGTGAAAGTTATAGCATCTACAAACTATGGGATATATAATGGAATTTACACAGCTTTTACTTTCTGACTGCTTATCACATTTCTTGAGGTGCTAAAATACCAGGACAGTACAAACACACTCAAATGACCCCTTTTAGGAAAGTAGACACCCTAAGCTACCTGCTGAGAGGCATATTGAGTCCATGGAAGTAGACACCCCAAGGAATTTAAAAAGAGGCATGGTGAGTATTTTGCAGATCTCTTTTTGTCACAAGGTTTTGAAATATAGATAAAGAAAATAAAAAATATGTTTTTGTTTTCTTTCTTCATATTTTAAAAACTTGTGGCAACAAACAAGATCTGCAAAATACTCACCATGCTTCTTATCAAATTCCTTGGGGTGTCTACTCTCAAAAAAGGGATCGTTTGGGGGAGTTTGGTGTTATCCTGACATTTCAGGGCCTCCCAAACTGTGATAGGTAGTCAGGAAGTGGAATGAGGAAATAAAGCCCTTTAAAGGCCTGAAGGTGCTGATTAGATTTTGGAGTCCTGTACTTGGCTAGACTGCCAAGTCTCTCACATGTGGTACCCCCATACTCGGGAGAAGTAGCAGAATGTGTTGTGGGGAGTAATTCCACATATACCCATGGCATGTGTGAGCAATAAATCATTTAAATGCCAATTTTCTGTAAAAAAAATTATAATTTTTTGTCATTTTCTAAAAACTTGTGGTAAAAAAATAAATTCTTCTATTGACTCAATATGCCTCTCAGCAAATAGTTTGGGCTATCTGCTTTCCAAAAAGGGGTCTTTTTGGGGGGTGGGGGCATTTTATGCCCAGCATTAGAAGTTTATGCCACACATTATTCACACTTTTAACCACCTGAAGACCAAGCCTTTTCTGAAACTTTTTGTTCACTTGAAATAAATTAGTATTTTTTACTAGGAAAATTTGAACCCCAAAACATTGTATAGTTTTTTAAAGCAGACACCCTAGTGAATAAAATGGTGGGTGCTGCAATTTGTTATGTCACATAGTACTCACGCAGCAATTTTTCAAACGCAAATGTTTTGGAAAAAATAATTTTTTTTTAACTTTTATTGCACAAAAACACAATATCTTGGCCAATTATTTGGTAAAATATAAAAGATGATGGTATGCCGAGTAAATAGATACCAAACATGACATGCTTTAAAACTGCGCATGTCCCTTGCAATGGCGACAAACTGCATATGTTTTAATATCCATAGGCAACACTTTAAAAGCCTGTACAAGCTACCATTTTAAATTTACAGAGGAGGTCTGGTGCTAGAATTACTGCCCTTGATCTGACATTCGCGGCGATACCTCACATGCAGGGTACAACTGCTGTTAACATACTGGCACGGGGTCAGGAACGCAGGTGTGGGGCGGCGAGGGTGTTTTTTTTGTTTTTTGTTTACCTTTTTTTGATTTTTTTTAATTATTTTTACACCGCTCCAAAAAAATCAAGGGGAGTATTTAAATTTGCTGTTTCCATCTGAATTCCGGTTTGGGCAGTGAATGGGGGAAGTAAGGGTGCTGCAGAATTTGTGGGCTGCCAATTGGGATTTGCAAGCATGTCCGGAAGGATACTAGGGGCTGTATGGGCCTGTGTGCGAATTCTTGGTAGCTGCGGGACAATACTTGTGCTCTCCACTGCACCAGCTTGTACTGCACTTATGGGACTCACCATACCACCAAGTGATACTGCAGTGCTGGTATGTGAATCAAGGGGTTAAATGTGTCCTAAAGTGTTCTAAGTGTGAAAAGTGTGCTGCTTTTACTCACTGTGTCTTGATTCTTCTCTCTCTGGGACAGAATGTGATATCACTTCCTGTACCTGTGTAAGTGTAAACACAGGTACAGGAAGATCCCTGATAGGACAGGAATCGATCATCCGACTTAGGCTGACCATCACTGACCTAAATCGGATGATTGATCCCTTGGGATCAAATCATGGCATCAGCAGATCGGCACCCAGCCCGCAAAAACCGCAGGAGCGCGAGTCACGTATATATACATGATTTTGCGCACCCGTGCCGCCATGTAGCAGTATTTTTACTATAGGGCAGCGCCAAAGCAGTTAAAGTCAGCTTTTTTTTTTATTTTGCTAGAAAATCACTTAGAACCTCCAAGCATTATATATTTCCTGAAAGGAAAGACCCTGGAGAATATTCAAATGCAAATTATAGTGCAACACAATATAATACCCAATATTTTGACAAAATATATAAGATATAATGTTGCAGTAAATAGATACTAAACATGTCAAGATTTAAAATGGCGCCAAGCCTGAATGGCAACAAACTACAGTACCAAAAATTATCCAATAGCAACTGTTTAAAAGGGTTTACATTTTACCAGTTTAGAGTTAAACATGAGCTCTGCTGCTAGAATTTTTGCTTTCACTCTGACACTTGAGGCATCACCCCACATTTCTGGAACAGTCACTTTTTACAAATGCGTGTGGACCTAAATGTTTGCATTTGTTGAGAATGGGGGTGATGGAGGTGCTTTAATATTTTTTCATTTCTTTTCATTTTATTTTTTTTTTATAATTTTTTCCTTTTTTTTTCCTTTTTTTATTTTATTATTGCCTTTCCAAGGGGGGAACAACACCACTTGTGATGACTTTGTGCAATGACAGTTAATCTTTATGGAGAGATCTGGGGTCTGTTAGACCCCAATCCCTCCTGTGCCCTCCAAGGCAGCCGATCAAACAGAGCACTGAAACCAGAAGTGACGATATCCTTGTCGCTTCATGCTTTATTTTTCACAAAGGAGATGGGGGAATGGATGTTCCTCCATTTCCTCTGCTATCAGCCGGCCTGACACTTTACATCAGTCCCGAGCTACCTGGTGGAACGGGAGAGCCTTGGAAAGATGCCGGAAGAAGGGAGCCCCTTTTCAAGCTCTCTAAAAGTGATTGGGCTGTTTGGATTGCTTTTACATAAAAGTTTACCACTGGTTCTAAAAGAATAATACCAGGCTGCTACAGCTACAGTATTGAACAAGTATGAAGATAAGGACTTTACTGATTGGTATACTTGTTCTTAGCTAATGACCCGGAAAGTATTGAAGCCAGTGGATCTTCATAAAAGCCAAATAGTTAGCATTTTTGGGTTTCTATTAGGAAAGGTTTACTTTAATTTTTATTAAAATAATACTTTTCTATTTATGGTCTAAATGTAATTAATGATTATTTGTGTTCTTCTTGTATCAGCCAGAGAAAGCCTTAGAGGTCTATGATCAAGCACAAAGAAAGAAGCCAAAAGATGCAGCACTTACAAGCAGGGTTGGACTATCGCTTATGAGAACCCATCAGTATAAAAAGGTTGTAGTAGATTTTCATTAATTCTGTATTTTTATGCCATCAGCACATTCAGAATATCAGAATTTAATGCTTGCTTACTTTTTTAAGTTTCCTGTATTCTTTTGATCAGCTGAGACAAAGTTATTAATAGGCTTTACAATCAAAGTTTTCCCTTTCACTGAACAGCTAATGAGGAATAATGATGTTTATTTTAAGTAATAAGTAAAAAGACTCACACTAGGCATCAAAAATGTCTTTTTTTAAGGGCGTTTTGCTTTTTTTTCTGCCTCTAAACACCCTTCTTTGTTAGCCTATGTGTCCATGCACACAAAGGCATTTACTGGCAGGGGTTGTTTAGAAGAAGAAAGAAAAAAGACAGGGCCAGTGAGAGAGGAGTGTTTGGCCGCAAAAAAATGCCTGCTGCTGCACCTGAACCCATGTAAACACGTCTAAATGCACTTAAGTGCATGCTCATTTAGCTCTTGTGTTCATTCATTTCAATGGCCAAAATAAATTAATATTCTAGCCATTGAAACGAATGAACACTCAAGCACTTGATGCGCCTAAACGCGTTTGCAAAAATGTGGCACATTTTTTACACTGCTTTTCTCCTTCCAGGAGAAATGTATTTAGAAGAGCTGGGCAAATGCTCAGTGTGCATGGGGTCTGAATATTACATGGCCTACATAGTATTGTATAATACTTTCAGGCAGGGTGTGGGGGGTGCATGCGTCACCGGGTGACACCTACCGCACGGGGTGACACCGGACCCGCTCCAATTAAAGGTAAGTTGGAAAGCAAGCCGACAATCCCGGCAGGATGGATCCGATCCATTCTGCGGGGATAGTCGGCTTTGTTTACAACTTACCTTTTTCATGGAACGGGTCCGGTGTCACCCCATATAGGTTGCATGCCGATGATTCCCGCAGGATGGATCAGATCTGCGGACTGGGGAGCATAATGGATTGGACTCTGATCCATTATGCTCAATCCGCAGATCTGAACCATCCTGCGGGGATCGTCGGCATGCAACCTTTGGGGTGACACCGGACCCATTCCATGAAAAAGGTAAGTTGTAAAGAAAGCCTACTATCCCCGCAGGATGGATGACGGATCTGTGGATTGGGGAGCATAATGGATCGGAGTCCGGTCCATTATGCTCAATCCGCAGATTCGATCCATCCTGTGCGGATCGTCGGAGGGGGTATCACCAAATGTTACTGCACCGGGTGACACCAACCCTAGGGACACCCCTGCTTTCAGGAAGGCTTTGGAAATGTGTGACTGTAACAATTTTGCCAGGGTCACCAAGCGATGTATGTATATGTAAGATGTCAGAGTGTAAACCTCTACTTCCTACATTTCTCCATTCACCTGTGACATTTTCATGGAGTGTGATGGCTGTCTCACCTTTATCTTATTCCTAGGCAGTAAATTACTATGAAGCTGCTCTAAAGATGAGTGCAGAGGATTTCTGATTTCTGTGCTGTGATCTTGCTGAACTTTTTCTTAAACTGAAGAACTATAAAAAAGCAGAAGATCTCCTGACACACGCTCTGAATCACGAGCCTGGTATGTTTTTCCTTTTGATGAAGGAACTTGGTAGAACAAAGGGTTTTCACTATGCTCTATGAACATGTTTGATTTTGGGGGGAATATATACCTGTCCAGTACATATGCACTCATCTATTATTACACTAAAAGGTCTGTTTACTTCCCAGTATTAATTCATCTTGACTCTTGGTTTGGAATGTTTCATTGGTACTATGCAGCATATACATTTTAAAAGCAAACTCACACATCCATCCATGTCTCCATGCTTTATTTTGCTGAGAAATCCCTTTGAAAAACACCCCTTAGCATTTGTGGGTGTGGCCATTTTGAGTAAGGCTAGATTCACACCTGTGCAGTTGGCGTTTGATCCGTTTCTGACGTGCTTTTTGTGGTGCGTTTTTGCACGTGTTTTTGATGCATTTTGCGTTTTTTCCCCAGCTTGCTGCTGGCCAGATTAAAAACACAAAACGCATCAAAAGTGCACTTCTGCAGCTTCTCCTCTTCTGTATTGGTGGTCAGTGGCAATGAAAGTTAATCCCCCCTCCACCTGCATTGGTGGTTGTGAGAGTGAGAGTTGGACAGCTCTGCCTCTGCTGCTGAAACCTTACCACTGTAAGCTGCAGTGTCTGGGAGGGGAAGCATGGGAGACACAAATGAAGGAGAGTTTGGCCCACTTAGGGAAAGTAAAGCAAGTTTTTTATTAACTTTATGAGGTATGTGCATGTCTTCCTTTAGTTGTACTTTAACAGCTTTTTGACAATAAAGAAACAGCAGCACACAGATGGGTCATGAACTCATCTCAGTATGCTTTCCCCTTCTGATGGCTCTTCGTGTTGCCTCTCCTCTTCCCTGTAGAAGTGCTGCTGTGCATGAGATGACAGAAAGTTGAGATCAACAGCAAGCTGTATGTAAAATGCATTTAATTATTTTTTAAAGGAATACACAGCTTCTTTTTAATGGTGTTTTTATATTTGCCAAGAGCTACACTTTAACCCAGTAATTGTGCTAAACCAACAAGGACATAGTAATTTTCCTGGAATTGAATAGGTAGCTTATGTGGAATCATATTTTATAGTATCAGCTGGACAAATAGTAACACACTGCATTCGATTTCCTTTCAGTTTCTGATTTGCCCTCACTGTTTAATGATGTGAAGTTTCTCATTTTACTTGGGCGTACATACAAAAACTATAAAACAGAAGAAATGGTTGACACGTTAAACAAGGTAAGATAGCCGCCGATGTTCTGCAGCCTCCATGGAAAAAAGTGCATATGTGATGTGATTGCATCATAGTCTCTTTATTCACAATTGGTATGTCAGATCCATTAGCACAATGTCCAAGTATATGCATATACAAATAGAAACAAAGGTGTGAAAGACTTTAAAGGTGCTTGTATACCCTCAGGATGAAAAACTTTGACACACTAAATGTATAAAAATTATGAAATTTATTACACTTAATAAAATGGAATATAAACACCCTCCCATAAAATTAGGTAGGAAAAAGAACCCTTCAGTACAGAGAATCCCATATCACACGTTCTCTTGGTCAACAATATAGAATCATGACCTAAACATCACCAATGTAACAAGCATCAAAATGGGAAGGTGATATGATGGTAAATCCCAACGTGTTTTGCTGCATTGGCTTCTTCAGGGTTCAAAGAAGGGAAAACACTGTAAATACAGAAGGGATCATGAAATACAATATATTCCAATACTAGTTATTTACTTAACATCAAAATCTAGATAATAACACAAGTTAACCCTATTATACCTAATCAGTAATCTATAATTATGATAATGTGAGTTACCCATAGTGACAGTTGCTCAGACCAAAGATCGACCCCAAGAGAGAGAGACGAGTACAATGGGACCAGATATTGCTGGGGCCTTTTTCCTACCTGATTTTATGGGAGGGTGTATATGTTCCATTTTATTATGTGTAATAAATTTCATAATTTTTATACATTTAGTGTATCAAAGTTATTCATCCTGAGGGTATACAAGCATCTTTAAAGTCCTTCACGCCTTTGTTTCTTTTTGTATATGCATCGTAGTATCTTTATATTGCATGTGGTTTTGCTGCAAATTTATTTTAACCAATAACTTAAAGGAAACATTGCTTTTAGTGAAATTTTTATTTAAATGATCCCCTACTCTTAGGTGGCAGCCACCTATCAAACTACTTATCTACCTGTTCCCGAGTTCTTCGTTTTATAGCCCTAGGTAAGTATAAGACGCACCTGACCATAAGACGCACCTAGGTTTTTAGAGGCAGAAAACAGGAAAAAAAAATGTTCTGAACCAATAGACTGCGGACATAGTACAGGAGATGACCAGAGACTGTGGACAGTACAGGAGATGACTGTTGACCTTTGGGGAGGGGGGGGGAGCGGGTACCTGAATTTGACAGGTACCCGCTCTTACTTCTGCAGAGTTGTTCTTTGGTTAGTGTCCGCTCTGCAGCAGGACCTTACCTGTTCCTCTATCCAGCGGCGCGCTGTCTTCCCGGCTTCTGTAGTGTGGGTGCTTGGCTTGACAGCAGGGTGCCCAGTGCACATGAGTGAGAAGCGCTGCGCTTTGTGATTGGTCCGGCGGCTTCAGGGACCTGTCATATGTCCCAGGTGCCGCCTTACCATTCACAAAGCGCACCGCTTCTCGCGCATGCACACTTGGCACCCGGCTGTCATGCCGAGCGCCCACACTACAGAAGCCGGGAAGACAGCGCGCCGCTGGATAGAGGAACAGGTGAGGTATATAAATTATATAGCCAGAGGTCCCCTTAAAGGTGGAACATATGAAGCAAACCGGATACGGAATCTCCTTCCTCTGGATAATACGTAGACCTGTGGGTGTCTTCCGAATCTATAAAGGTGTATTCCTGCCAGAGGTCCCCTTAAGGTGGGATGGGTGTAACAGCCTGAAGTGGAATCCTTTAAGGAGGAGCCAATACGCTGTGACGTCACGCTGCCGGAGCCTCGTAAAGGTCTGGCGGCCATCTTGCTTGGTGGACGGTTTTTAGTCCCTATCCACAATGCATTGTTATTCATTTTATACTTACCTGTTTTACCACGTGGATTACTAATAAACCTTTTTATTACAATACTACACTATGGCCAACTCTTTTTCTGGCTCTACATTGAGCTGATTGATTCACAGAGTCTATCTTGGAATTTATCTGCAGTACTACATAGGATCCAGAGGAGGGAGATTCCACTTCAGGCTGTTACACCCATCCCACCTTAAGGGGACCTCTGGCAGGAATACACCTTTATAGATTCGGAAGACACCCGCAAGGCTACGTATTATCCAGAGGAAAGAGATTCCGTATCCGGTTTGCTTAATCCGTTCCACCTTTAAGGGGACCTCTGGCTATATAACTTATATGCGTATTTAAAATACGCATCTGGTGAGTGCGTATTTTTACCACACCTTTTGGCACATCACTGAATAACTTATCAGCAGATTGCATAAGATTGATGATCACCTTAACACAGACTGTCACATATATGGACACCTATTTATAATTTCCATTTTATTTACTTTGATCATTGGCACTATAGCACTTTGCAATAACTTATTTATCTACTCTGATTGATTTTTAGCTCTGCACTTTTACTTATATATATGTTGTATAGCCCTACTTGGCACCAATAGCATTTGCAGAAAGAAGTTCCAGGTGGTTCCAACTTCTACTGTATGTACACTGATTGACTCATTCATCCCTTTGGCTGCTTCTGTTTATGGTGACCCCCAGCCATCCAAAGGACTGGGTCTAGCACTCGTATTAACCTTGCTAAAATGATTTTTCTCCCTAAAACCCTTTATATTTTTTTGTGCAGTCCTACAATCTCTTTGTTCCTGCAGAAATATTTTAAAGTGTCTTAGATTCCTTTAAAAACCTTTTATCTGCTGGGCCCAGCAGACATAAACTGAACTTGTCCATGTATGGGAAATATCCCAAGGCTTTGGGAGGCCTGCCCCTCAGCAGGCTTCAGTTTATACTAATTGGCATTGTAAACTTTTCATATTTTTACACTGATAAGCACTGGTAAAATCCCCTGTTTAAAAAATGAGTCTTATGGCCACTGACAGTATTGCCCCTAACCTAGACCCTCTTACTTTTATTAATTTCGAAAGTTTAAAAGGCCAATCACAACCTGATGAATTAGTGTATCTCAAGCTAAATGGGACATGGCTTGATATTCTGTAACAAATAGTAACACTTCACTTTGGCAGAATCGATCTTTGCCTGATAAGCTTTATGCCACATTTTGAGCTCTGGTGTGTAGCCAGGGTTTTTTTTGTTTAGCTCAGATCTTAAAGTAGAATGCGATCATAGGCAACAGGTTTTTTTTCCATTTTTGCCATCCAGATAAGAGGGAGGGTTATAACCCCTGTCAGACTTTTTGTTTCACTATCTATACAGACTTACTGAAAAAAAATAATAAGCTTTTTGTCTGACGTAATTGCATTTCCTGGTAGAATTTTTTATCCTTGGCTATGCCTGTTGGATTTTCTTGAGTCTTTAGATTTAAACATTTATCTTCTCACCTGTAGATTTTTTTGTGCTTTCTTACAAGGAATCTTTACTGGTTTTCCACCAGGATAAAGGTGATGTTGAGGTTTCAGTGGGGTTCTTACTTACTTACAGTGGTTGTCTTTGTTCTGCTTGAATGGGGGAGAGGTGTTACTCTCTTTTTGTACTAATCCGAAGCATTCCTATAGGATGATGGGGGGATGCTTCATACTCTTTTATTGTTGTTTTGATCTGTATTGAGTTTAGGTGGTATACCACTTCAGAATATATTTGACGGTCTGTGATTCCTTGTTTGTTGTGCTTGTGGGTCCTCACAAGAGTCAGGCTGCTTCTTGATCCTCTTGATCCACTATTTCTAGGGGGATTCGTCATTCCTTTTCTCAGGGCCTATGGAAATCAAGGGTAAGGTTCCTTATTTCCCAGTCAAGCCCCATCAGGCTTCTGTAGGGGTGATTTTAAAGAGTGTAGTAAATCTCAGTTAAAAAACCCCCAAAAAAGTCCCCTGCAAGGTAATGTCATAATGTGGTAGTATGCAACGGCACACAACTCTGAAGGAACAACACTGGTATGCCGTTCCTTCAGAGCGCATTCGCCGGCTTTTGAAAATTGAGAATATCTCCTAAACGATGCACGTTTAGGAGATATTCATTTTATGTACAGGTAAGCTTTATTGTAAGCTTACCTGTAGGTAAAATTTTAAAAAATGAGTTTACTATCACATTAAGTTTGTAAGGCTACAACTTGTCTTCTGTTCACATTTATGAAAGTGTTACAAAACCCACAATAGTAAAATCAGTCTGTATATGCAGTAAAGCGCGGGGGGGGTTAATCCTGTGTAACAATTCAGTTTGAACCTAACTTTTCTGATCCTCCCCTTCTTCAAGTGCCACGGTCTTATCGCCTGATAAGACATATCGTGTGGAGACACTCTGCACATGCTCAGTTTGGTGTGTATTGCTAGAGATTTTTTTTTTTCTTGTCTTGGGAGAGTGAATGCGATCAGCACAGGGCCAATCAGTGCTATCCAGACAGAGGACAGGGGTTTTGCATCCTCCTAGAGCAGAAAGAAAACTGCTCCTAACAGCTAGTGCTCGGCTGGACACTGATAGAAGTTACAAGACTGCTCTAACTGCTGATGAGAAAAGGTATTTAGCAGTTTATAGTTACTAAAATAATTGCATTTCCATGTTCTGTGTACTGTGGGACACCAGATATAGTGAATGCAGGGTCCTGGGTTTAGTAACACTTTAAGTTCTACCCTGTAGATGTTCACTCTTGTGGACTCCAGTTTTAGGTGTAAAGTATACTTTGTGTACATTGTATATGAGATGATCCTATGGGGGAGGTAATATACAGATGGAAGTGATAGTATACGGCATATAGATTTTATGGTGGGGTTTCATACAGTATATAGATTGTATGGTGGGGGAGGGGTGGGGTGTCATACAGTATATAGATTGTATGGTGGGGGAGGGAGGTGATATCATACAGTATATAGATTGTATAGAGGGGGGGGGTAATGTTCTAGAGTATATAGATTGTATGGTGGGGGAGGGGTGGGCTATCATACAGTATATAGATTGTATAGGGGGGGGTGATGTTTTAGAGTATATAGATTGTATGGTGGGGGAGGGGAGGTGATGTCATACAGTACAGATATTATGGGGGAGGGGTAGAAGAG